AGACTGGAGCTCCTCAGAAGCCTGCCTTCCTCATTTGCCTTTTATATCAGTCAGGTGACAAGCCTCTCTAGGGTGGGTCTTTTGTCTTCAGGAAATTCCCTCAGCCACACTTAAACTATGATGATCCAATGTAGTTGACGTGTCTTACTGAATTTGACAAAATCAATTAACTAACCCAATGTTACATAATATAAACATCTCAGTATATGTGGCTAGATTTTGTTCCTGATATTATCCTTCATTTATTTGTGCATTCCTTTCATGACTGTGTCCTGGGTGGCTACTAAGGCATTGTGCCGGAACAAGGAAAATAGCCACTAATCTCATGGAATTTACCATATAAAATTTTCAGCAAGGATAAAAATGTTTACACTATGCAGTGTGGTTATTTTATTTTAACAAATTTAAATTTGAAGAGTCACATATTGCTGGCTAGTGGTTACAATCCTGAATAGCATCTTGTAGAATTAAACTATTCATGATTTGACATCTGCTTGTTGTCTTCACAGTTATGTACAGTTAGAGAACTTTCCTGGGATCTGGAACGTATAATCCTTTTCTTTTTATATACAATGTATTAGGCTACCAGTTATCTAAAGTAAATGGGAAACCATAAAATATTATATTTTGACACATATGTTAATATACATGACACTGTACTTAAAATGACTAATTATGAAAATACTGAAAAATTAATTATTAGTCCAATTTAAAAATAATTTCTCTATATTCTACTCAGTATATATTGCTGCTTTTTTTGTTGTTAAATTTTTATTGAGTTTATTGATTGGTACAGTCTAGATACACAATACAATTACATTCATTATTGGGATCCTGTACCTTTACATGATAGGTCTTGATTCTCGTTTTTTCCCCTTGTCCCTGCTGCTTTAAGATTTATATCATTAGAAATAGTTTTAATGAATCAGAATTGGTATTCTCTTGAATTACCTAAAATTGAGATTATTCTTCTGCTTGTAAATCTTCTATTTCCACCCACATAGAAACCTCTACTTACATTCATTATTGGGATCCTGTACCTTTACATGATAGGTCTTGATTCTCGTTTTTTCCCCTTGTCCCTGCTGCTTTAAGATTTATATCATTAGAAATAGTTTTAATGAATCAGAATTGGTATTCTCTTGAATTACCTAAAATTGAGATTATTCTTCTGCTTGTAAATCTTCTATTTCCACCCACATAGAAACCTCTACTTACATTCATCTTTATCTAGGGAATCCACATTCTGGGATGGAAGTGAGAAAAAAAAAAAGAAACATAATTTGTACATAATACAGAATCAAATTAATGAAAATATACAATGAATCACACTTCTGTGGGCCTATCCTTTGTGCAATTCCAACTCCTGAAATTATAATAATATCCTTTCTGTCATTAAAATGAACAAATCAACAATTAAAACAAATACTGATGTGAGGGGTAGCTGAAACAGAATGCAAGGTCTCACTACAAACTGTTGCATAACAAGTGAATAATATAATCACAGTGAAGAAATAAGGAAAAAACTAACCAAAATTTCTATGGAAACTGGATACTGCATGGCTAAAGACCAAATATTTTGCATACCTGCTATCATTAATTTGTAATGTCTTTTTTACTGAAGCATTCATTTTATATACACCTACTTTCTAGAATTTATGTGTGTGTGTGTGTGTGTGTGTATATATATATATATATATATATATATATACATGTATATATATATATATATACATGTATATTAGAATTAAATTAAATAATTAAGTCAAGTCTAGATAATGAGAGGTTTTTCACTGTTCCAAAAAGAAATATAAATAAGCCAAGTGGAGAAGTTTGAAATGAATCCTGTGGTGTTACCTGGGTTGTAATCAGATGTAAATTAATTGTTTATAACACATATGCAAAAAGATAAGATTTTAAAACATAGTAAATTCTTCTTATTCACAGTAGTTATGGTCCATAAACAGCTACTGAATACTGCACTTTTATGGCAAATACAGGGTTAGATTTTTGCAAGCTTCCGGTCACATTTTTGTGACAGCCTTGTTTGTGGCTTCTTATTAGACATCTTATTTAATGTATTTTGTTGATTTTTTTCTTTTTAGTACTGATAACCAATCACATTGTAATTCTTTCCTGAATGGAGCTTATCCAGTCCATGTATTTTCTTCTTAAGGTACATCACAGCCTTTTGTGTTTAGAAACAACTAGATGGACTTCAGCATTACACTTGGAGCCATTTTAAATAGTGAAAGCACTAAAAAAAGCACAAAAACACTAAGAAAATGTGACACCAAATGGATATATGTTTGCAAAAATGAGAATTGGAAAAGAAGGAAGAACATTGCCTTGCTTAACACAGCTGGGATCCTGGGCTTGGGGTGACTGAGATTTCATTGCTTTGTGCATGTCTATGAATGATTGTGTTGATTTTGGCATTACAAATTAATTTCAGCCAATAGATGAATACATAAATAATGAAAATTAATTTTGTGTGTAGGTGTATGTGCGCCTATATGTGTAAGCATGCACATAAAGCCTGTGATAGTTGAGCAGTGGCCTTCCATTAACAGTGATTATAACCAATAATTTGATCTTAGTCTCACAAAATCATTATTTAAAGGAAATAGGGCTCTTTAGAGAAGTGATTGATTTTAGGGGTAGGACAGGAATGGCAGGCAAAGGTTTTAAAGTGTTTTGGTGTCAGAAGTAACATAATGAAAACTAGTTTTGTCAAAAGAGCACAGAAGACAGATTGTGTCTGTAATGACAAAAACTGAAACAAATGAAACAACAAATTACTGTAAATAATAATACTTTATTTTAACAGAATGAAATACAATATTCATGAGTTCTTATTGCTATCAACACATCTTTCAATAAACTAGTACATGGGGGGATGGCTCTTCCTTAGAGTGGAATTTCTTTTTAGAAATGTAGAATGAAATAGGGAACTATACCACAATAATATATGTTGCAGACCAAATCTCATGTAGATGCTAAAATTAGTTGGGGAGATACTGTGGAATAACAGGATTTGCACAATCTTTAAGTATTTTCTCAAGATATTTATCAACTACAAAAACTAGGACAATCTGCCTAATACAGGCTTAATCAAATAAGCTAAACATTAGGGATAAGACATACTCATGCTGATTTGCACTGGCAAAGTCTGAGCTAGTTTTTATTTATTCTTAACACAAAGCACATGACCTCATGCTAATATTGAGAGGTTGCTGGTTAAATATAAGTTGATGGACATTTTAAAGAATAACTAGTCACTACTCTTCAAAAGTGCCTAGGTAATGAAAGAAAAGAGAAAATTTAGGAACTATTATAGATTAGAGAAGAGCAAGGAGAACTAGTAACTAAATGCTGTGGGGTCTCCTGGATAGGATCTTGAGACAGAAAAAAAAAATGAGTGGAAAAACTAGTGAATGTCAAGTAAGTTCCAAGGTTTAGTTAATTATATTTTTTACTGTTAATTCCTTGTACTTTTGTCATGTAAGATATTAACAAAGGAAATGAATGAAGGGTGTAAGAGAACTCTTTATAATTTTGCAAGTTTTCTTTGTCTTTGTTCAAAATAAAATAACTTAAAATAGAATTCATTGAATCCATTAACCTACCTTTATGTCTATTTTGTAATTAGTTTTGTCTGGGAAATTGAAATTCATAAATATCTTGAGTTTAAGTCCTTTAAGTATGTCAAGGAATGGTATAACTTGATTAAAAGGTGGTTCTATTTTTAGTTTTTTAAGGAACCTCTATATTGATTTCCATAGTAGCTATAGTGTTTCATGCATACCTATATTTACTGTGATATAATATACAATAGCCAAGATGTGAAATCAGCCAGGATGAATGGATAAAGGAAATGTGATATATATGTTTATGTATATATCTATATATAAAAAATAAAATGGAGCTTTATTCGCCATAAAAAAGAATGAAATTTTGTCTTTTGTAGAAAAATGAATAAATTGGAGATTTTAATGTTAAGTAAAATAAGCCAGACTCAGGAAAACAAATATGGCATGTTCTCCCTAATATATGGCATCTAAAAAAGGATGACAAGTAATTAGAAGGGAGACTATTTGCTGATAAGAGGAAGGGAAGGAGAAAGAGAAAGAGTACAAGGGCATGTAATAGAGAGGTATGAATTCTATTAAGATACATCATATACATTGAGCCCCCCAGAAAAACTAAGTGGGAAAATGGGGCAAGAGGAATTTGGGGGAGTGGTTAAAATACATCCTGCTAAAAAGTATGTTTTGCTAAAATGAAACCCATTTATATGAACTAATAAAAAATGTAGGGGGGAAAACCAGCATTGCGGGGGATGTTTAAAGAGTGCTTTAAAACTAATTTGTACTAATTTAGGTATACATACAGTTGCTTTAGTTTATCTTTTGTGGTTCACGTCAACTGATACTTGCAGTAGTTATATTAGGACAAAGGTGTTTTCTTGTTAGATCCGGATGGATTCATATCTAACTGCAAAGCCAGTCCTCTGCTGGGCACCTACCTTTTAGATCCTGTCATAGGCCAAAACATCTCTAATGACAATTCTAGCTCTTAGCTCTTTTTGCCTGTGCTCCCTCAAAACTCATTACCTGGATTTTTATTCCTCTGCCACCCTCAGATCTGTCAGTTTCTTTTTCTCTTGCCACTTCTTACTCAAATTCAAAGCTACTGGCCAAATTTTTCTTTTTTAACCTACCCTCATCGAATATTTCAAGCAGATTTAATTTATTCTTTGCCCTTGGATTGGATACCTAACACAGATCTTTGGGCTCACAAACACATAGTACAGAGCCTAGTGTCATCTAATGAAGGCTTTCATCAGGAATGGTGAGTTTAGCAGCTCATCAGTGTTGACAGGCAAAGTGCTTGACCTGTATGGAATTGCAAAGTTTAACAGTTTATTCTCACTAATATAATTCTGTAGTAACTGACTATAATATATGTAATTACCTTATATTTTTGTGTTTTTACAGTGTTAAATTTTGATTGCTTACACAACCTCAGTGATACCTGATATTCAAATGAAGTAGTCTTTTAGGTAAATGGAAAAGTCTTTCAGGTAAATGGAAAGTAGATATTAATATTAGGTATAATGAGATTTTTTTATATGAGATGGCTTATACTACATGAATACATTGTACATTTTGAGAGGACAACAAACCAAAAATTCCTGTTCATTTTGCAGTCTACTTTAAAAATTTATTTTTGCTTTATTTCTAGGAATGATATTTTCTTAAAACAGATTTTTTATTAGTATATGTTTGTGAAACAATATATTCGTCATGTGGTTTTGGTGCACATACACATCTCATTTTGATCCTTTGTCCTTCCCCTTTTACTAGCCAGGAATGAAATTTTCGACATTGTTTGCCTGTCTGTAATATATGTATATCTTGTACCTCTAAAATAGTAGTTTAATTTAACTTTTCAATATGAAAATATAAATTATAAACCTACCTGACTAAGAGCCTATACACATAAACAGGCTTGGTTTGTCCAAAGTGATACATTCTGAATATACTCTGGATGTTGTAAAATGGAGTCCAAGAAGCATCAAATATGATTACTCGGTTAGCAGCTACCAGATTAATTCCAAGTGATCCTGTTTTGGTGGAAATGATATACAATCACCCTCTCACATTAGTTTCATCTTTAAATTCTTCATCCCACTTCCTCCTTGACTGTGTAATAGTACAACTATCTAAATGGTAATAATGTTTTGGAGCTACCTTCCTTCACCTTAAATAAGAGGTTTATCTGTATCTTCTCCTTTCTCCCTACTGACCAATTCAAGAAAATCAGGGACTGACTAAAAGCAAGAACTTTATCCCCAGTTTCTTCTGCCATTCAGAGAATTTCAAAGAGAAGTATAATTTTTCCAGAATGTTCTAAAACTTCAGCATCAGCATCTGTTACAAAATATTTTGATAGATAAATATCAATGGGTATGTACATCAGTAACAAAGACTGACAGTCAATAGAATCATAATATTCTGAACGAACATTTATATCTTAGTGTATTCAATACTTAATTTTAAAAATAATTTATTAAATTGAATAAAAGTAGGAATTAAAAATTATGTAGACA